ATTCGATAGTTGTGTTCTCAAAAGACACAACCCAACGAGAGGACACGCCTCTTCGAATCAATCTCTATGAAGAGATACTCATTTCCGAGAGTCTTGATTTTTCCACCACGTGATTAGGCGACTCTTAATATCCATTATGACAAGATCATATATTGTCATGCTAGAATGCAACCATAATTTGCATAAGCCATCTCAATTAATTTCATCAAATTATTGAGGCTTTCCATATTCCAATAAAAGGAATAATCATGAAAGTTCATATACTTTCAATAACTAGTTGGCATTCTTCCAACATTTATACAATCATTGTATAAGTTTATTCCATTTTAGTCAACACATGTCATGACTAGGAATATCAATATCTTGAGGAACTCCACACACTTCCTCATTTAGAAATATAGTCATTGATCTCAATCTCGATCAATTAAATTATTCAAGACCACACGGTCAACCATTGATATGGTACAAACCTCGAACATGTCATATTAGTTCGATAAATTATTGAACAACGTTCAATAGAATTTGATTATTTCTCATCTCAGTATCAATTTCACATGTGTGCAATAATAATTCAGATGTAACATGCATACACGTACCACATAACAACAAGGGTAATGAAGAACCCCTTCATATTTCATATTTCCATTTTTTTTTTGTTATAAACATCAACAATAATGTTTCCATGGTAGTTATGAAATGAATGGTCATCGAAATCATAAATTAGACAACTTTCCATACTCATCGAATATCAAGAGACTATCACCATCAACCAAAGTTAGTACAATTTCCAACATGAAAACATGCATCCTCAAGTGAGCAAGTGGGAGCAATATATATTAAATATTCATGAACGGAAACTATTTTCCTGCCAAGTAATTTCCATTTCCAAACCATGCAATTGAAAAAATGTATACTTACATTTATTTACAAACTGCCAATGTTTACAATTTACTTGGAACATGCAATAACAAAATCAGATTTTATATTGCATTAAAAATGAAACATTTAGTAGAATCTCTCATAAGAGATTTCCTTTGGAAATCATATAGTAAGCAATAATCAGCATATGTTAAGAACATATATGACATGGTTTCACACATTTTCATAAAATGAACAGCCAGCACTTTTATTTGAAATACGAATAAATTGCCAAAAATCAATCTGCCATTCTTTCCAATTTGCCGAACAGAGGTGCCAGTACCATTTAATATACACAGAATTCAGAAATTAATCAGATAATTCTATGAGAATATAGATTTAAATATCAGCACCGTTTCAATTTACATGTCTTCGGAATTTCCATACAATATCATGATTTCCATATAACATGCACATCAAAAAATTCATCTTAAGATTGTGGGAGATATTACACCGATAATGTGCATATTATATTCATCAAGAGCATGCCGTTAATATGCATGAAATCGAAACATCATTCGACTTACCGAAATCTGATTTGAGAAGATAAAATAGCGATTTACCGACTTCGAATATAATAATATGAATTCTTCACTTCCCAATATGAGTGAACGCATGTTGTTCTTCAATTCAAACCCTTCAATAAAACACATAAATAAATTAACCATATTCTGAAATCAAGCATAAATAAAATTAGAAATGAGAAAGATGAAATGCAAGTGATGCGATCGGTCGAGGCAAGTGTTTGACACTTTTTCCTTAAGATGAATTTGCCCCGCATCGGTGCTAACGGTTTCTCGGCAATCATCTCCCAAGATACAACGACCACGTCAAGCCATAGGAGCACTCCAAATGACTTAGACCAACGAACTCGAACGGAGTTCCCTCTCTACCATAACCATGATTTTGATGCAAGAGAAAATCACTTCTATAAAGTGTTTTATGCAAAACTAAAGTAACCATGATATGAAACTATCAAATGAATTGTTTGTTGTGTAGTTAATCCAAACACATAGGGAATCCATATATATAGTAGTTGGAACATCCATACCAAGAGACACATCTCTTGAATAATCATAATTATTGGAAGTTACTCATACCAAAAGTCATGCTCTCCAAGAGACATGATCCATATGAAAAGACACATCTTTTCATCTACATTCTCTAGAATATTCCACAGTATTCTACACAATTTCAATAATTTCAAGTATTAAGTTGTTTAAGTTTGTCTTATTTTCTCATTCACCTAATAAGGAATTTCCACTTAAATCATTTCAATTGGTCACAACCAATTTTCAATACAAAATTTCAACATGTTCCACATTTAATAATTCTCTGGTGATTTGATTGAAGGATTCTGATAATAAAATAAGTAGGCTTCAAGTTCCTGAGATTTAAAGTTTTATAAAATCTAACATTTCACTTGTGTGAGAACACCTGAATTTTGTGCTAGTGTATCTAGTATACAACAATTCTCCAGGAGATTCCACGTATTTGATGATGGTAAAAATTGTGATTGCTTATAAAGCGGGAATAAAAATGAAAATTACTTCTTATTTTCTGGTTTTGGCTTAAGTTATTTGAACTTATTTTGCCATTGTGGTGTTGTGTGAAACAATTATTGCTTGTAGCTGCTAGTAGATTCAACAATGATAGATTTGGAACACGTGGGATGATAAGTTTTGGTCATGAAGTGACCACAAAAACTGAAGTCAGAGAATGTTTGGATATATAAAGTCAGAGAATGTTTGTAAGAGCATGTTTTCATTTTTATTCGATGTGAAATTTTATATCTTAATATGTCCCATAAGATGGTGGCTTATTTGAACATATCAATTTTGAAATTTGCGTGCTCAACTTTTAAGTTTTAATCAGATCGAACTGCTTATTGAAGTATAATGAACTCTGATATCAAATTAAAGTTTGAGATTCCATTTTAAATGTCAAACTTTATTAAGGGAGTAGCACAAACTTTTATTAATTGATCTATGTTTTTATTTTAATTTAATTTATTCCTTAACAATTATCTTAATGGTATGAAGCTAAGTCCAAAATGCATTCCGGATTTGACTTGTGATTATTTGAGCTGAGTTGTCTTAACCCAATATGCGGATTGTAATTATCTTACTTTTCTTCGTTTAAAACTTGGATTATAATTATTCTGGAACTTTAGTAAATCTTAATGATCTATAGAAATAAGAGTAATACTTTTTATAGTCAACAAGTACAGTAATCATTCTATATATCAGTTTGCTTCCGTTGCTTCAAATAACAAGTTAATGTCTCAAATAACAAATTGTCACAATATAATCGTTGATTTAAATAGCATAATTCTAGAAATAAATAATTACTATACACTGATGTTTAATATAATCAAAATGGTTTAGGAATTGGGACTCATTGAATATACCTTTTCTATTATTGTTGTAAGAGATTAGCGCTTGTTTGAGCCTCTTTTTTGCCCAAAATACGTTTTGAAATAGTATTTGGTTGAAAAATGTGTAGTTCAAAAATAAGTAAAAATTTTGAGTTCGCATGTAATATTATTTTGTCGAAGAATATATTGCTGAAAATAAGATAGAAAAATGTATTTTGAAAATAATAGGTACCAAACATGGGCTAAATTTTGCATGCTCTTTAAATATAGAAAAATGTTATCCACCCTGCGTAGTGCTAAGAACCCATTTATATGAGGTTGTGGTCCATTACAAAAATTGACTAAAACAAAAAAGATAATTTTTAATAATCACTACAAAATTGGAACAATATTTAATTATCTTCACCTAATCGAGGGCATGTGCCATGTGTAGTCCAAATTTGGAATCCTGTTTCATTGCTTAGCTATTTACCATATTCAGTTTAATTGAAATATTTTGTTGGTTGACGTTGCAATTGTGTTATTTGGAAACCCGTCAAAGAAATCACAACTTTTTTCTAAAATGGTCTTTGATCATATGAAACAGCAAATATATATGNAAAATACATAGCAAAATGAATGCCTAGAGATAAGATTTGAAAGAGACATTTTACAGTTGATGGCAAGATTGATTTTCTGCAAAAAAATGCGAAAGTTTTATTTAACATGTTATTCAATATTTTTGTGTAATACTATGTATTAATAATCTTGCTACATGTACATCAAATTTGACATTATATGAGTTGACGATTTTTGTACATTGATTTTAAAAATAGTTTTCCAATTAATGGCCAGATTTGTATACATAGGAGGACGTCAACAAAGAATGCACAAGAATCATAATTCATGTATTAAACATGCACGTAGACCAATATCAAGAGAAATAATGAACTTTGGACACTTTTAACAAAAAAGTTATTTTTGCAGCCTACAGTTTTTTGCCAAAACACCAGTTGTCAATAAAGTTGTCATCCATGATTGTACAAATAACATTATACTAATTTGGAAAAATCCATTTGTACAATGATTAGAGTGTTGTAACACTCTCACATTAGGGTTACAACACTCTAATCATTGTATACATAACATGATTGTACTAATTTATCATGAGAATGACTTGGCAAATGAAATCCCATAGCATAGGATGCTCTTCGTCTATGCGAATAAAGTTTTTTTTTTTTGTGCGAGCTGGATGTTGTGTCAAGCTTCTCTCCTTTGTTTTAGGTTTTTTCCTTGTTATTAAAGTTTATTATTCTGAAAAAAAAATGCACTTAGATGATACGATAGAATAAAGCAGATGTGAACAAGATGAAATATGTGGAAGGAAAATAGTTGAAAAGCTACAAAGGGAGGTCTAACGCGTGAAGTGATAAATCTACAGAATCAAAGAGGAACCTCCAATATAAATGTTAAATCTTGCAAAATGAATTCCACTGAACTTAAAAGCCAAGAAAAGAATAACATATGTCTCCAATTCTTAATGCCCCACACGTCTTACCCTCCACTAAATGATCCCAATTATAGTCCCCACAAATCCAAGAAAATAAAACACAGCCAACATTCAAACACAATATATATATAAACTGATACAATGAAGGGACAATCATACACAAAGCTCATAATAATTGGACATATTTTGATTCTTGGAAGTTAAAACAAAGTAATAATGGAAGCTGCGCATTTAATAAATTTTCGACTCTTAGTTTGGGGAATTGTTATCATTCCTGCACTAAGCCAAGGAGGATTAAAAACTGGGTTTTATTCTTCTTCATGCCCAAAAGCCGAATCCATAGTCAGATCCACAGTGGAAGCACATTTCAATAAAAATCCTACTGTTGCAGCTGGACTGCTTAGGCTTCATTTCCATGATTGCTTTGTTCAAGTAACGAATAATAATCTTTTTTTTTTTTGAAATATTGTTAATAATTTTCATGGATTATTTTTGCATGCGTGCACAGGGTTGTGATGGCTCAATTTTGATTGCTGGGGCTTCTGCTGAAAAAACCGCGAGGCCTAATTCTGGGTTGCGAGGATTTGAAGTGGTTGAAGATGCGAAATCGCAGCTGGAGAGTATGTGCCCGGGGGTTGTCTCGTGTGCCGATATTCTTGCATTGGCTGCTCGTGATGCAGTTGACTTGGTGAATATTTCTTCCCTCTTCTAAGCACTATATACTTTTCATTATTTTTAGACTGGTAGGTGTCCTTGTTACATATCTCCAAAACACTCTCTATTTTTAAATAATATACTTTATAATTTAGATAACATCTACAAATTTATAGAGTAAAATTTTTTAAATGCTCCAATGACCTCGTTAAGATAGAGAGCGTTTGACTTTGAAAGAGCATGTTGAAAACAAGACTTCTCTCATCCACTTGACACCAAAACATGCAAATATGTGAGTTCCAAGTTTTTAACTTCTCATGTGTATGTATATCCTAGAGTGGAGGACCAAGTTGGGGTGTGCCTACTGGAAGAAGAGATGGTCGTATATCTTCATCGGCTGAGGCATCGAGTTTGCCTTCGCCGTTGGATCCTGTTCCTACCCAGAGACAGAAGTTTGCATCGAAAGGCCTTGATGATCATGATCTTGTCACGCTAGTTGGTAATTAACCCTTCATTTATTTCTATACACAACATTTCATGACACAGCCATGCTTGTCTTTTCGATTTCAGTGCAACCTAGACAAACACTAACACACAGCATTTTATGTGGGATGATTGCAGGGGCACATACCATTGGCCAAACGGACTGTCTTTTCTTCCGATATCGTCTATACAACTTCACAAGTACTGGGAATCCAGACCCCAGCATTAACCAAGTATTCTTGGCACAGTTACAATCTACTTGTCCTAAAGATGGTGATGGCACAAAAAGGGTGGCTCTAGACAAAGATAGCCAGTTGAAATTCGACACAAGCTTCTTCAAGAATGTAAGGGATGGAAATGGGATTCTTGAATCAGATCAGAGGCTTTGGGGAGATCCTTCGACGCATCGAATTGTAGAGAATTATGCAGGAAGCATAAGAGGGTTACTTGGTTTAAGATTTGATTTTGAGTTTCCAAAGGCCATGATCAAAATGAGTAGAATTGAAGTTAAGACTGGTACTCAAGGGGAGATCAGAAAGATATGTTCCAAGTTCAATTAAATCTACACAAGTGTACTACGTGTGTATTCCATCGTCCTCTTTCACTTTGGTAATTGAGGATATATTGAATTTGATCCTAAACTGTGTAGTCTTTCAAAGCATCTTCAACAAACTCTCTGTAAATATAAAATGCTCTCCATTTTAATGAATCAATCCTTAAAATTATGTTTCAAAAGACTTTTTAAGTTAATATTTTAGTTTAGAGAGTTAGTTTGACTCTTCAAATTTGAAGAGCCAAAACCCACTTTTTATAATTAAATGAATTTAGAGTGTTTTAATTTTCAATAGAGTATAATAATAAAATAATTTGGAGGAAACAAATGAAAATAAAAGATAGGAAAAACAATAAACATTTTTTAAAACTTGTAAAATTAAGTGTTAAATATAAAGAATTTGTTGGAGTATTTAAAAAAGTTTGCTCTCTAAATTTATAAATGTTCTGTAAATTGTAGAATGTGCTTTTTAAAAATAGGAGTCTCTTGGTGAAGTTCTAACATGGTTAAAAAGATAAGAGATCATCTAATTTTTAGCTAATATTTATATTATATATGAAACATTTAGCGCCTGCTTGAGCTCCATTTTTGGCTAAAAATGTATTTTAGAATAGTAAATTGATAGAGAATGTGTAGTTAAAAAAAAATTGACGTTTGCGTGTATATAGAATTTGGGTGTGACACGAATTCTTTGTTAAAGATAATTGAGAATTTTAATTAAAGTGCACGTTAAGAGGAAATCTATTTGTAATGCTTTTAGAATCCTATTCAAAATTTATTTGGCAAATTCTAATTGAAATTCTATTTAGAAGTCCCATTGAGAGTTAGAAGTTGCGTTGAACTTGAGGAGATCATGAAAAGGAAATTTTTGTACATTCTATTTCATGTACAACTCTACTTCTAGGACTTAAATTGTTCCTTATATGTATTTGATTCTTTTCTAAAATTTAGTTGGGTTGATTTTACATCGTATGAGTTGTTAACCTCATTATAGGTTGATTTAATCTTATTGGAAGTTTGTTTATCCCCATTATTAGTTAAAGAAATTGTAAACACAAATTTTTATATTCTTTCTTTATATTTTAGTAAAATTTCATTTACTCTGCAAATTATATTCTTATTCTGAGTTTGTTATCGTTACTTTATATTGTGTCTATAACCTCTTATTTCCTCCAATAATTTGGTATTGAATTAATTTGGATTATTCCATATTTCTCAACAAATTGGTATCAGAGCATTTAGGTTTACAACAAACTAGTATCAGAGCTAAATGCTTGGGAATTCTTGGGAGATTGAACTTTTCATCAAGTTAAAAAGTTTTGCTTGATTTTTGTGGTGACAACTATGAAGTCTGATTTTCGCTATTGGATCATAGTACAAAACTTTCGTTGTGGCAGATTAAGAGGCAAGTAGTGTTCGCTTATATTGGATTGATTTTATTGTATTTTTGCCCACTTCATATTTATTGTTTGAAGACATGAATTATATAGTCGCGATCTAACCATTGAAAAAGTTTATGATGCTTTATATTCAATGGAGAAGATAAAGCATATCGTTGAAACTAAGACTCATGGAGATGGGCTTGTTCTTGATGATGGTTGTGCAAGGGGCATATTAAGATCTAACTTTAGAATTTGTTGCTAGAATTCGAGGCACTTAATTGTGTATTGCTATAAGTTACAGAATATAGAAAGTTTGGCTGCAGCTTTTCAGAAGAGAAAACGATTAGATACATTAAATGAAGTCATTGTTGAAACTTTTCACAGTAATGGAGAAAATTTTTACTTATTTCTGACTACCACCCAATTCTGACGAGGTTCTTGATACTGCTTGCACTTACATATCCCAATTGGGATTCGTTTTCAACATATGAAACAATTTTGAAAGGTGTTTAGGTAATGGAAAACAATACACCTTGTTGGATAACTGGTATTGTTTGGGTTGAAATAAAGTTGTTTGATTGGACTATTAGAACACTTGATGTAGTGAGACACAGTCCAAATTTGAAGAGAAATCTTTTCTCCTTAAGTACTTTTGATGCAAAAAGGTACAAGTATACTGGTGAAGGTTGATAACCCAAGAATAACTAATCAATAGGGGTGAATTGATAATTAAAAATTTTTTCGAAAAATTAATTCAAGGTCAAGCAAATTGAAAATGAACAAGTCAATAAAAAAAATTGCACAAGTACGAAACCAATAAGTAAAAGGGAAGCAAGTGTGCAAACGATGTAATCGTGGAGATTCGATACCAAACAATGATTTGCGTCTTCCGTTACCAAGTTCTCCATCATAAGTAAGACGCTTTTACTATATTTGATTGACTTATGGTGCAATCAAAACCCTTACAATGCTTTCGGTAACTTAAAAAACAAGTAGCACCAATCCATATGTAATATTGAACTTTCGAGACCTCAATATGACCCACAAATTTAAAGAAAAATAATTTTACAATTTGAAATTTCTCTTTTAATAAATAATATAATCAAGTTAAGTACAAAGAGAGAAATAAGATAATACTTTAATGATAACAATGAATGAAGATCAACTGTTAGGTGAGAAAAACTTTGATGAGAAATATATTTTTCAAAGGTTGATTGAATCAAAAGTTTTTCAAAATGAATGATTTGATAGAGACAAAAATAAAATGAAAGATCAATGTAATTTAGCTCAAGAATATTTCATTTAAATGCTCTTAAAAGTGTTATAATGAATGCAAGTGAAATGGTATTTATAGTAATTAAAACGCAAAAAAATTCTGACTAACTGGACAACCAATCCGGAAGTCTGCATACTAAATCAGACAACCAAACCAGTTGTTGTGTGTCAAATTCGAAACTGTTAAAAAGGTGACCGTTAACGAATCGGACATCCAAATTTTTCTTTATTGATTGTTTTGAAAAATGTAGGCTTTTCAAACACATTTTGCTTTATTTTTTTTTAAAGTAAGTGACATTGTAAAGAGTTTAAATATCTAGTTGAAATACTTACCTTTTGAAAAATAATTCTTATGCAAATGTTTTTATGAAATAATTTTCTCATGCATAAAAATTTATTCATTGAACTTTTAATGATTCATTGAAGATTAAAGAATTGTACATTTGCACATGAATTCAAAATATCTAAATCTAATATTTTCGATGTTTGACTATTGAAGCTCTTTGTCTCGAGTGATTTGTCGTGAATGTTCGGCTTTCATCTCAATTTTTATTGATCGTTCGATAGAGTCTTTTGGCAATAAACTTTGTCTCTAATTGATCAACTTTGCAACAATAGTTACGAAGATTCAAATTCAATTGTTAGAAATAAAATCAATTTGTTTGTTGTAATCAAAACACGAAATCAACTATCGGTCAAGAAAGGTAGAGTCCTGAAGGTTCGTGAAGGAGCTCTTTTTGTTATATGTCTTGCAATGTTATACAGAATCTTTGATGGATCAACATAATTTAAGGGCTCAGACGGATTTGGAGTCTGATTATGTACTATTGGAATCTAATTGATCTGATCCAGGAGTCGAGCCCGACGAGTACAAGCCCAGGGCGGGATCTGTTGATTACTAAAGGATGCCCGATGTCACGTTCGAGGGCAAAGCGGGTAAAAGAGGCAACAGGATTGCTTGCTCAAGTTATGGTGGATGAAGTTTCAAAGTTAACAAGTCAATGAACAAGTTTCATGTTGGGTTCGGAAGAAGAAACCAAATTGATCAACTCGATTCAAGTAGCAAACGAGCAGTATGGATAAAAAGGGGTATAACTTTCAGCTCGGTTGTCGAATTTTCGCCCATGAGTATATTTCAAAAATTGCACGAAATTCTACACAAGGTAGCATGGACGCATGGTACTTTTGGGCCTGCGATTGCACAAAAACATGCCGGAAACAATTTGGCGAGAATTTTAATTTTTCGCGAATTTCCTTGTTAGACTAGAATTCTATTTTCTTTCCAATTTTACAATTTTTTGTAACCTAATTACGTTTTTACTAGGTTTTCTAGTCATTAGTATAAATAGAACTTCATTATTCAATGCATGAACCTTTTGACAAATTTACTATTGAGATATATTAGGGACGCTATTGTGGTTTTCAAACATTGTTCTTCTTAGAATATTCTGAACTTATCAAGAGGATTCTTGTGACGTTCAACACCGAGTACGGATTACGTGTTGTGTAATCAAGAGGTCATTCAAACTTCATTTTTGTTTGGTTGCTTGATTCATTAATTCTTGGTTCAAACTCAAAATCGGGATTATTCTTTGAGCTTTCTTGGGATCTTCAATCTCGTTGTGGGTTGCGTAGTGTTAGTTGCTACGTTGTTCTCATCAGTTGGTATCAGAGCAAGACTCTAAAATAATCAGGTTATATATTTTGATTCTTGCTTGAGTCTTGTTTTTCTTTTTTTTTTCCATTGTTCTTCACGTTCTTCGGGTCTGTCTTATTTCTTAAATTTTGATCCAGAAAATTACAAAAACAAAGTCAAAGTTGTTTTCGGATTAACTACAAGTCCAAATTAAATTTCGTTTGTTTTGCTAGATTTGTAGTTGAATTCTTAAGGTAAAAAAAAAATATTGTTATTACCGGGAAATTTTAAACAGTTTAGATTTCAACTTTGAGTAAAAAAAAGGGGACCATTCAAAATTTATTTCATTTTACGTTCTTGAATAGTCCATTGAGTTCATTTTTCATCCTTTCACTTCTTTCGTATTTTTGAGTCATTTTTCATCTTTTCTTTTCTTTCTCCTATCACAATTCGTGATCAATACTCAATTGGATCCACAAGAATATAATATTGGTTGAGTTTACCTTGTTCTTTGAAGCACTTGGGCGAAAGTATTGAGTGGTAAAAGATAGAGTGACGAGATTAATAGAGGGAAAAAGCCAATAATTGGTTGATACACGAGTGATCATTTCTAAGGAAAAATTCAATAGAATTAGGATCTCAGAAAAAGAGGGTTCCAATTCAAATAGGTTTCCTAATCAAAACCACATGGTGGATGATGTAATAAGGCGGTTT